CGGTATGAACGGTCACACCGGAGGTAGCTCATCAAGGGAAAACAACTTCCGGTGGGACGGATTAATGGAGTTCACTCCACTTCTCAAGAGCGCAACTGAGCGTAAACCCCACTTGACTCGGAAACGAGATCAAGCAGAGTTCAGCGACGGTGGCGGAGGGCATTTTGCTTTTTCGCTGCTTCACTAGTCCCGCTTTACAAGTCCCACTCTGGTGAAAGCTGCGAGCTCTTAGTGAAGCCGGAGCGAGCCGTCGAACCACCATGGTAAATGGTATGTTCACGGTATTTCACTGTTTTGCGAGAGTTGACAGATGGTTTCTACAAACTTTGGTTGGTATCATTTCGTGGCTTCCGTGGTAATCTCCTTTCGATGGCTCGACGGGTCGATGGGAAGCAACAAAACTGCAAAACGCCCTCCTCGCCCGTCGCCGAAATGTGCCCGAGTTCGGTCTCGCTTCCTCCATTTTTCTAGAAGAGCAATTTGAAAGCTCCCTTTTTGCAGGGTAACATCCGATCTGTATTGAAAGATAATTAATTGAAATGTCGCTGGATTTTTCTCAACCTAATATCTAGAGATCGCTCACTTTACGTGCTAGCATCCATGAAAATAAGTTTCCCATACGCCACGATAACGTGCACCATACCTGCCAAAGATGGCTTAGGGTAGGGTGTGATCATAGTCCTTGGCTGACAAATATACAGGGGGCCAAAAAAAAGACACTTCGGCCGAGTCACATATCAGCAAAGTTTTCGCAGCCCAGACAGAGGCGTGGATACGAGTACCAGGGCGGAAGATACCCAAGATGTTCCTCTATAAGCAGGAGCTGGCTCTCGCCCATCACCTTCATGTACACCAAAATATGAAGTCATCTCCAGTCGCAGCCTGACTGGAGAAGACCTTTGGAATTCATGTCACCTCCAAACAGCTGCGAAACTTCTAGTATGGAGTCACCCATGGATACCTGGAGACCAGTACTCTCGATCTGGAAGACCTCCAACATCGAGCAGCTCCGACAACGCTACGGTCCAGGATATCATCCTTCACCGCAGTCGCCAAGGCGCGGGTTGATATTATATACCAGCAGTACCTGGAATGGGAAGACCGATATTTTCTTCGTGGACCCGGACTGAAAGTGAGCGCTGACGGTTACATCGACCAACTCGAGAAGAATATCCTGCCTTCATGTCGTCGCCTGTACCATCTTGGAAACTTCGTACTGCTACAGGATTGGGTGCCACACATGGAATCGAAGGCGTTGGAAAAACTCTCGCCACTTGGAATCGAAGAACGTTGACAACCTAGAAAAGACGGAGTATCCAAGTGTGTCACCTGACTTAACCTCCTTAAATAACCTGGTTCGGGCGGAGCGAACAGGGTGGTCTACAGTGGCGGAGAAATCAACGATCTCGCTGAACAGGCACCGAATCACGGTCGCGTGGCAGAATCTCTCGATGGCGCTCGTCCAGAAGGCTGTGGCGGAGTATCGTGATAGTGTACAATGTGTTGTTGAAATTGATGGTGGTCAATCAGAATTTAATAAGTGTAACCCATAGGGCCTGAAAGTCGAGGGAGAAAAGTGTCTTTTTTTGATTTCCCCCTTCCCCTCCCCCTGTAGACGCAATCAGCATAATAACCGGTCCAAGCGTCGTCTTTTCATCACTTGTTTGAGTGAGAAGGAAAAAATTCATAATTGTCGTCGATCCTTGTAACTGAGCTTTCAATTTCATAACTGGCCCTTTGTCACGGTCTGGAGGAGCATATGCGGGAGGTACCCAACGAATAGACAAGGCTTCAAATACTAGAGGTAACCTTGTGATTGGGTCCTGATTGATTGAAGAATTTCAAAATTTCGTTCAATGCATTGCAGGGCTTTTCATTCAACCTAGTAAATGTTGTGATTCCAAGTCGTAACTTCACGTAGCGTACATGAAGGATAGTTAATCATAAGCACTAAGCCACAAATGTGCTCAGCCTTTCTGCAAAAGCATAAAGCGACAATTTCAGATGGATACGTGCTTTCACAAGCTCCCTTCTCTTCAGAAACAGAAGAACTATTTTGGCGGATGGTGGTTGACGTCAACCCGAAAATAATACTTGTTCTTGGATCTTTAGCGGTATGTACAAAGATCTTCACCAGAAACGCGAGCTTAGCAAT